AACAACACTTTGTACTGCAGAGCTTTCTCTCTTTGTATGGTCCTCATGCAGCTCCCCTTCAATGTAGGGTCTCCATTGGGTGGGCAATCAGATGAGGTCCCAGGATCTGCTTCTCTTCATAGCTGGCTCTCTTCTCTGTTGCCAGGTGTCATGCTTTCTCCCTCAGGTGTATAACTCTCTCTATCTGTGTCTATCTGAAGGTTGTGTCTCTGCCCTACCTAGATGCACCATATCCTACTGTTCCACCAGCTCCCCTTCAAAACTATACGGTTGATGTTGATATGGAAAAGAAATCCTGCCCCACCCCATCCCTCAGTCTATTTATTCCAATATTTTCTGGGTGACAATCTCTTTGATATTTAAAGCTCCCAGGAACATGCCTAATTTGTTTGCTCACTCAAGCACCTTGTTGCCTTCTTGACGCAATCAAAGGGATTTTATACCTTGTTAACACATTAAAAACTCATAATATGTGACTATATCCTGTGAGTACATAAACTCAGCCTGAGGGAACTCACTAATACCTTCCATTCCTTACACAGTTTATTTTTACTAGATTTGACCCAATGTTTTAGTTTATTAAAATCTTTTTGGATTCTGACTATGCCATTCAGTGGATTAGCTAACCCTCTCAGTTTTATTGGCATCTGCAAATTTGATGAGCGTGCCCTTTCTGCCTGGCATAGATCCCTAGGAAACTCCATTAAAGACTTCCTAATCAAATCATCAATGGATGGGGCCATTTGATCACTTCTGAATCAACTTAACTGAGTTCTCATTTAGCCCATCTCTCTATATTTACACAAAAATAACAAAAGAGACATTTCTAAATTCTTTGCCAAAATCCCAGTACACTATAGCTATAGCATTTGCTTGATTAATCAGTCTAGAAACCCTGTCAAACATGGAAATGACATTATTCTGGTATGAAACTATTTTAGCTCTTAGATGTTCTGGATGTTCACTCACTATCTGTTTAATGATAAATATAATTATAATAAATTGTATTATTAATAAAATAATAAATATATATAAAAGACTAAAACAAGAATGTCCAAGTTCTTTGCTCCATAATTTTCAGATTGTATTCTTTTCCCCCTCTCTGAAAATCAATACTGTGCCTTTTCTAATCCTATAGGACCTCTCTCCTTTCCCATGGTCAGTGTAGGACTGAGCCCTAAGTATAAGCTTTCATAGAGTTTACATTCTACTGGAGAGATACTAAGTAATTTGCAGAGGGAATGCATAATAACAGCAAAAGGGACTGGGGAGGGTTTCCCAGAGGACATATCAATGAGCCTTGAAGGAAAGTCAGAATTCTAAAAGATGAAGATGAAAAAGGAGGGCCTTCCAAGAGATAGCCAGATTTTTAGGATCTTTAGGATAGACTGGAGAATAGGAAATTTGGGTGTAGGAAATTTTTGAAAGGAATAGTTAAGAAAAGAAATGACAAGGCCTGAACCAGGGTCATGGACTGTGACTGGAGAATACGGCTTGGACATAGGGGACCCAGACTCCACAGAATGGATCTGAGACACCAAGGAAGGATCTGCACAGGCCCAAGGTGGGTACCAAAGGGACTGCTTGGCCCCAGATTGCAGAATAGGGGTAACTGGCAAATGTTCTACTGAGACAGATTTTATCTCTCAACATAAGAGAATACTTCCTAAAAATTAGAGGTGTCCAGAAATGTAAAGGCCTACACTGAGAGCTAATAGATTCTCTATTATTAGACGTCTTCAGGAAGATGGTACATGTGTGCTTGTCAGAGACACTGTAGGAAGAATTTTTACTTAGGTTTGAGTTGGGTTAGATGGACTCTAAGATCCCCTTTCACTCCCTGAGACTGTACTGTACACTCAGGGTTAAGTGATTATATGGAAACAACAGAAATGAGCATGCTTCTCAACTGTGCCAGGCCACGTTTGCAAAGCAAACCAGAAAAATTTCCATGATGCTTGATAATGTGGCAGATTTTAAGAGAAGTATTAGGCATCTGTAGTCTCCCCACTCCATGTGATGAAGCACAACACAGTGGAAATTACCCATAGACCACTGAACAAATGCATTATTGCCGTCTGGGGACTTCTATTGGCCTTTGTAGTTAAAAAGTACATACTTCATTAATTTCTCTTTTCCTTGTGAAAAAAGCAACCAACAGCCAGCATAGGACCCAGAGTTATAAATGGTATAAGATAAAGGAGACTTTAAACAATCTTTGAGGACTTTATTATGTTCTTTAGTCCTACACTTGCTTTCTGCTGAATAGACTTTCATAAAAAGACTTTTGCTGGACCAAGGTTGTGAGACTCAAGCCATCGTGACTCCATTTTGAGTTTTTTTGGTGAAGATACTGAACTGGTTTGCCATTTCCTTCTCCAACTCATTTTACAGATGAGGAAACTGAAGTAAATAGGATTAAGTGACTTGCTCAGGGTCACACAGCTGATAAGTGTCTGAAGCTGCCTTTGAACTCGGGTCCTCCTGACTTCAGGCCTGGCACTCTACCCACTAGGCTAACTAGCTGCCCAAGAAGACCTCTGCAATGTGTGACTATTTAATGCAGGACAGTATCATTGGAATGTAACAATGCTGATTCCCCTGTACCACTTCCAAATATAGGTAGTGAGTTCTCCTTCACTGAAGGTGTTCAAGCAGAGAGCGGATGGGTATTTTTTTTTAGGACACTGAAGAGGGAATTCATACACTGAGCAAAAAGCTAGACTAAAGGATTTATTAAGTCCCTTTTAGGTATTGGATTCTAGGGTTTTATTAACCATTATTCTACCTCTCCTACTCTTGCTGTTAGTACTCCTCTCCCATAGTAACTTTTTTTCCTCCTATAACTTCCGTTAGTGCCTACCCTCATCTGACATACCTCCCCACTTCTGAGCTTTAATGCCAATTACATGCCTGGCTTTAGGGATCAAGAGAATCAATGAATGCCAAAACACTTTCCCCAGTGTGTGTACACACACATACTTGCGCATATACGTATATGTATACATACGTTGTAAGTATGTTATTTTCAATTGCAAGAGTATGTTATTTCATTAAATTGTGAACTCTCAGATGGCAAGATTTGTGCCAGCCCACTTTTTACTTCAGTGTACACATTTGGACACTTGGGAAATACATGTTAAATTAGTCTAGTAAAAGAACATTGGACTTGGGTTTAAAGCAGGAGACTCAGATTAATGGTTCTAACCACTAACTTACTGTATGATGTTAAGCAAATAACTTCTCTAAGCCTTGGTTTCTTCATTTACAAAATGGGCGCAATAGTACCTATTTCCCACTTATTTTACAACGTTGGTCCATGGATAAAAGTGAAGAATTTTTCATTGGATGTGAGGAAAATACTGGATGTGGAACGGCTTAGGGGGTATATGAAACACTTATACAAACACACGTTATTATTAATAGTAGGCTTTGAAAACTGGGAGATTTGTGCTATCCTGTTGGGGACTGACTGTAAGGTTATTTAAAGGTACCAATGCTCAGCAGGGAAAGGGATTTGGGAAATGAGAATTTAGTTTTATTTCTGAAAACTCCCTTTTTCTCATGCAGAAATGCTAATGGTAGACCACGCTGAAAATATAGCATTCTGCATTTGTGAAAGAATATTGTTCATTTTTAGGGAAAAAAAGCACTATTAACTAAAAAGGCAAGGTCTCCCTGGAGTTGTGGCAACATGCAACAGCTTCGTTTATGAATCAATGTAGCTCAGGTTCAAGTGGTCTAATTTCCTGAAAACCACTCTATGGCATTAGGTTTCCAGAGGGGTGTAAAAGCCTGTAGCGTATTTATTCACAGTTATAATGAAATGAAAAGGGAAAAGAATTGTAGAGGAATTATTCTCTGAGAGGGCAAGTCACATTTTTTTAATTTGTCTTTTTTTTTTCCCTAAAGGAACTACTCATATAAAGGTGGGCAGACCTGCTAACAAGCACTCTGACTCATGAGATCCTTGCAAACAATGCTGCGTACAGGCTGGAATCCTCTACTTTTATTAACAGGCCCCTCTCCCAAGGCATCTACTAATAAATGCTGAAATTGGGGAAAAGGTTTGTAGGATACTCCCGCAATGTCCTCTGACACCCACAATAGTGGTTTCACTTTTTTTTTTCTGTCTCTCAGTGACAGGAGCTATACTGTTTCCCTGTTTGTTCAACAAAAGTACGAAGGAGAGCTGAGCTCCCAGTCAGCACACTTTAGCTTGAAGAGGAACTGGCAACACAAAGTTGATTTCTTTCAGAGAATCGTGGGAGTACAAAGAAAAAATGGCACCCAGACACAGGGAGAGCCCTAACCTCAAAGCAGGAGCAATTTCAGAGCTGTATATGTATACAGATGAAAAGAACACTTTAATTTAGGATGAAACACCTGAATTATTTTGCAAAGAAAGGAGTCCCTAAAAATTCTTCAGTAAGCAGGAAGGTGAAAACAATATCCAATATTTTTTCTACCCTTTGAAATAAGTAATTCCTTTGCTTTTTATGTTAGATAATTCTTAATTGAAATTTTCTTTAAACAAAAAGTAAATTGAACTTGAACTCTTAAAGAGTCTTGATTTTAATTTATTTCTCAAACAAAATAAATCAACAAGCTGTCAGAAGGTAATTGTGGATAAATGTGCATTTAACACAATTTCTTTAAAAAAACCTCTAGGCCTTGAGCTGTAATTATTAAGGCTTTAAATGTCTCCAATGACATTAACTACATAACATAATTTGGAGCACAGGAATGGAGTAACCTAAAGTCTGTTTATTGATGCATTGTTCAAAATAATTCAGTCAATAAAACTCTGTACAACATATCATTCTGAAACAACTGTGGTAGTTTTCTTAAACTTATCACCTTTCTACTTCTAATACTGCAAAGATCTATGATTTCCTCCTTGTGGCTCTGCCCTCCACTGATGGAGATTACAATCTCTCCTTGCTACCTCTATCAAGAGAAGGTCTTGAGGAGTAGCTGTGAACAAATTAAGTTATCACCTGGTATCCAGCCTCCTGGTGATGAAGCTTTCCAGACTCAGCTGGGTTGGTCCTTGGATGACAGATGCACAATTTGTCAGCAGGGCCTTACTTGACACCTTTCCAGCTTGGTGGGATCTCCCAGACCTTAACTTATGTTGACATAGCTGGGATCAGCTTCTACAACACATAGAAGCATCAGAGTTGGATATTAGTGGAAGCAACAAACTTCAGTTTTGAATTCTATCCTATTAACAAAGGATCCAGGGCACAACGACCACAAGCAAAAGTCTTTTGCCTATAATTCATATTTTGAAGAAATGTTTATAAGCATTTATAAACTTCAACACACTATAATAATTATTTCTAGAATTTAATAGGGGCTATATGGGAATGTTAAGTCAGCTATAAAGTTCACTAATACTGTTTCCAATTTATCTTAAATACAGAAGGTTCTTGACTGGCTGATTTGGAAATATCTTTGATCAGTGACATGAGAAGTGAAAACATGGAAATGTTTCATTCCATCCTACCAAACTGATATTTTCTTTTTTATTAATTTTTTGTGCTTCTTTTTTTCTTTTTTATTTTAATATAAATTTGTTTATTTTTAGTTTTCAACATTTACTTCCACAAGATTTTGAGTTCCAAATTTTCACCCCATCTCACCCCTCCCCCACCCCAAGATGGCATGCATTCTAAATACTCCTTCTTCTAGTCTGCCCTCTCTTCTGTCTCTCCCCCCTTCTCTTATCCCCTTCCCCTTCTATTTTCCTGTAGGGCAGGATAGACATCTGTACCCCATTTCCTGTATTTCTTATTTCCCAGTTGCATGTGAAAACACTTTTTTAAACATGTGTTTTTAAAACTTTTGGTTCCAGATTTTCTCCCTTCCTCCCTCCCCACTCACCATCATTGAAAAGGCAAGCAACTCAATATAGGTTGTACATGTGTAGTTATGCAAAACGTTTCCATAGTAGACATGTTATGAAAAACTATTTCCCTTAATCCTATCCTGCCCCCGATTTATTCTATTCTTTCTTTTGAGCCTGTCCCTCCTCAGAAGTATTTGCTTCTGATTACCCCCTTTCCCAATCTGCCCTCCTCTCTATCATCCCCCTGCTCTCTTGTCTCCTTCTCCCCCTATTTTCCTGTAGGGTAAGACAGATTTCCATACGCAATTGAATGTGTATGTTATTCCCTCCTTAAGCCAAAACCTATGAAAATAAGATTAACTCATTCCTTCTCACCTTCCACCATTTCCCCTCCACTGTAACAGCTTTTCTTTTCTGCTTTTTTTTGTGAGATAATTTACCCCGTACTACCTCTCCCTTTCTTCTTCTCCTAGTATAATCCTCTCTCATCCCTTAATTTTATTCTCCAGATATGACCCCTTCATCTTCAACTCACCCTGTGCCCTCTGTCTCTATCTATCTATCTATCTATCTATCTATCTATCTATCTATCTATCTATCTATCTATACATACATATAATTTTTTCCCTCCAACTACCCTAATACTGACAAAGGTCTCATGAGTTATAAATATCATCTTTCCATGCAGGAATGCAAACAGTTCAACCTTAATAAGTTTCTTACGATTTCTCTTTCCTATTTACCTCTTCATATTCCACTTGAGTCTTGTACTTGAAAGTCAAATTTTCTATTCAGCTCTGGTCTTTTCATCAAGAATGCTTGAAAGTCCTCTATATCATTGAATGACCATTTTTTTCCCCCTGAAGGATTATACTCAGTTTTGCTGGGTAGGTGATTCTTGGTTGTAATCCTATCTCCTTTGCCCTCTGGAATATTATATTCCATGCCCTATGGTCTTTCAATGTAGAAGCTGCTAAGTCTTGTGTTATCCTGATTGTGTTTCCACAATGCTTGAATTGTTTATTTCTGGCAGCTTGTAATATTTTCTCCTTGACCTGGGAACTCTGGAATTTGGCTATAATATTCCTAGGAGTTTTCCTTTGGGGATCTCTTTCAGGAGGAGATCTGTGGATTCTTTCAATTTCTATTTTGCCTTCTGGTTGTAGAATATCAGGGCAGTTTTCCTTTATAATTTCTTGAAAGATGATGTCTAGGCTCTTTTTTTGATTATGGCTTTTAGATAGTCCAATAATTTTTTAAATTATCTCTCCTGGATCTATTTTCCAGGTCAGTTGTTTTTCCAGTGAGATATTTCACATTGTCTTCTATTTTTTCATTCTTTTGGATTTGTTTTACAGTGTCTTGATTTCTCATAAAGTCACTAGCTTCCAATTGCTCTATTCTAATTTTTAAGGAAGTGTTTTCTTCAGTAATCTTTTGGACTTCTTTTCCCATTTGGCCAATCCAAACTGATATTTTCAAAGAACAAATCTATGTCACTCCCCCACTTAAGAAGCTTCAGGGACTCTCTGTTTTCTCTAGGATAAAGGGAAAAAACCCCAACAACTCCTGCCTGACATTTGTCCTCTACAATGGTGCCAACCTGCCTTCTCAGACTTATCTTACATCATTCCCTTACATACACTCTATGGTACAGCCAAACCAACATATATAACATTTTATCTCCTATCTCTCTGCCTTCCTCTCCTTCCTCACCTCCACCTCTTGAAATCCCTAGCTGTACTTCAAGGCTCAGCTCTAGTGACTTTCTCAAACATCCCATCCAGTTTTAGCACTCTTCCCACCTAGCCTGAAATTCTTTTGAATTTATGTGTATGTAGTTGTGCATGTTATTCTCCATCTTCTCCCCACCTAGAATTTAAAGTCCTTGAAAGAAAGAACTCTTTTCACTTTTGCCTTTGTATCCCCAGCATCTCCCATAGAACCAGGCACATAGTAGGTGCTTAATAAGTGCTTGTTGAATTCAACAGGCTCAACGTGTGAGCATTTAAAACAAAAACCAAAAGAGCTACTTTGTGTAAAAACACAGATAGGGCTACCATGTAGAAGCTGAATTATGTGACAAAATGAAGATTTATGCAATGTGGTCAGAGATGGTTTTATTACTTTATTTTCTTTTGCTAAGTGAGGTGAAATTTGGTGCCCCTCATGAGAAATTAACAGCCATAGTCAGAGTGAGGAACTGCGTGGGAAGGTGTTGTGTGAGGCTCCCAATTTTCTTCTATCACTGATTTTCAGTCTTTACCTACCAATCTTCCCTGCATTTTCACAAACAGAGGTTGCTAGCTGTGCAAAGGAGTCTAGCAGCTTTTAAATCTAGACAAATATTCCCAGGAGACTGGGACAGGAATGAGCTTCCTGAGCAGAGACTGCCATTACATTTATTTGTATGTTGCTACAAAAGAATCTGTATCTCATACAAAGTTATTGACCTCTACTTTAACACCTTGCTGCTAACTAGCTGAGTATAACCATGAGTGCATATGTTTAAAACTGGGACTCTTCTATCACAGCTGTTGAAAAATAGCTATTGCTGTTGTTCAGCTGTGATTAACTCTTCATGACCCCATCTGGGGTTTTCTTTGCAAAGATACTGGAGTTGTCTGTGATTTCCTTCTCCAGCTCATTTTACAGATGAGGAAACTGAGGCAAAGAGGGTTAAGTGATGTGCCCAGGGTCACACAACTGGTAAGTTTCTGAGGACAGATTTGAACTTAGGTCTTTCTGACTCCAACTATCCATTGTGCCATCTTGGTTTTTCATTAGGTACCACGTTATGTGTGGTATCCCAGAAAGAAATGATGAGGGAAATAGAAAACCTAAGTTGTAACCTGAACTCTTCCCTTAATTATCAGCATGTCCTTAGTCAAATATCAACACATTATGTTGGGGAAATTTTTCAGCTGTAGGGTCAATAAAAGTCTGTTTAGCAATCTACTCTTCTATTTTTCATTCTGCTTTATTGAAGATTATATCTGATTTTCAGTCTGGTTGTTAGGTTCAACCTGTTGGGTTCTATGGGAATGTTATATCAAGGATAAAAGTATAACAGAACACAAGGTCTGGAACTCAGGACTATTACATATGGCTCTGACACTCCTCAGAGGACTTGGGTTCCATAATTAAATGGATCTAAAGGCTAAGCCTCCAACAGTTGCCATAAGGATGTTACCCATTTAATGAGTAGCCTCCTGCCCCAATATAACTGACACTGCTAGTAGGATTCCAAATATTCTGACGTATTTGACTTTCATATGGAGAAGAGGACACAATGTTCAATCAACCCCCAATGCATTAAGAAGTGCAGCATGTGACATATTTCAGAAATAAAAAACTGGAAGCAAATGCATCCCATCCCAGTCCTACTCTCAGCTCTTCCATTTCTGTCAGCCTAGCATGGTATCCTATATTTCAGACAGAAGCAAAACTGCTACTCAGTTCCATGGCTAGCTATTTAAGGCGCCTAACACAGCAGGACAAATGTGCACAAGTCCACACAGTATGACAGAAGGAATTAAAAATGTATTTACCATCTGCTGGTAGTTTCCTTGCTGGGCTCCCTTCCTTTCCTGCAGCCACAAATAGGGTCTTCAATTCTCTTTCCAACTTCGGAGAGTAAGCTTCTTTTTCCCCACATCTCTGGAAGATCCATTTTGTTTGACTGCCTAAATGGCTGACAGTGATAGTCAAAAGAGGATAGGTCCTTTTTTTTTTTCTTAAACATTTCTGCTTCTAGGACAACAGTTTTTAACCTTGGTATGTGTCTGTCATGAATCCCTTTGGCAGTTTGAGGAAGCCCCTGGACCCCTTCTCAGAATAATGCCTTTAAATACATAAAATAAAATATATAGGATAACAAAATAAACTAATTATATTGAAATAGTCATCAAAATATATTTATTTTTAAAAGCAGGTTGACAGACCCCTGGTTAAGAACCCATGTTCTTGGGCCAATTTCCTAAAAATGAAAAACCATTGGGATTAGTGCCTAGCACTTGGTTAGCTACTCTTCAGCTGTACAGATCTTTGGTTTTCATTGCTAATACTAAGTCATAGCATGGTCATCAAAATTTACTTCAAAAAATCACTAGAGACTTTGGGTAAAGACTAACACAAAATAAGCATTATGTTTTCAGGAAGGTTTAAAAACTGGCTGGACCTTGCCGTATCATGGTGGACCAGATGGGAGTCAGGCTTCTCCCAGGAGAAAAGAAGATCAGGACTGCAATAATGGATTTAAAGCCTTAGACTTTCCCTGCCAAAAAATAGACAGAATAAAGATGATGAGCCAGAGGCATGGTTGAGAAGCTTGGAGGAAAGCTGGTATGATGATCCAAGATCATTTGGGTCACATAGAAACTTACTTCTCAGTGGGAAACTGACTTTATTTGATGATATGCGTACCACTCCAAAGTAAACCATGAAACTGGGGACAGATATTAAGTGTAGTATTTTCTCTCCTAAGAAAATGGTGATAAATGATAACAGCTAGCATTTATATGGGCATTTTAAGGTTTGCAAAGTGCTTTACAAATATTATCTCATTTTATCCTCAGAAAAACCCTCTGAAGTAGATACTAAAGGAGAGAGAGAAAATAAATTTGTTAATTTAAAAAAAAATAGAGAGATGGGGGAATGTTACAGATGTCAGGTGTTGCATGAATTATCCATGAAAGACAGGTATTACTGCTAGCCTCATTTTACAGATGAGGAAACTGAAATAGACAGAGGTTAAGTAACTTGTCCAGAGTCACCCAGCTCCTAAGTATAGGAGGCCAGCATTGAATTCAGGTTTTCTGGATTCCAGGTCCAGTGATCTGTGTTGTCTTATTAATTCTTAATTACTTTAAACAGTTTGTTTTAATCAGTTAATATCGGTTAGTACTTAAGAGCTTTCAATGTGGATGGAAATAGATCATTTTTAGAAAGATGCAAGGCATGCATAACCTATATATAACTACTTGCCATCTCAGGGAGGAGGGAGGGATAGAATTTGGAACTCAAAGCATTAAATAAAAATGTTTTAAAAAGTAAAAAATGGCATTTAAAGAAAGATGCAGGGTACCAACTGAAGCTGAACTACCTCTTCTTCCTTTCTTCTCACAAGATAGATGTATTACTCATTTGATATTTTTTTCTTTTGAGTGAAGTGGGAAGGATGGTCCAGAATTATAATCTTATTATCTATGTGAAGGCACTCTGAGTGCATAAATTCCCTCCACTGATGCAATGTTGTCTCAACATACATAGTCTGAGTTACCATTAAGAAGTCAAACATCTTGCTCACGGGCACACAGATAGTACAGCAGCAACAGAACTTGAACCCATCTTCTTGACTCCAAAGTTGGCACTCTATGCACTATGACAGGCTGCCTTTCTGCCTGACTGGTTCCTTATGTTTTCTTAAGTCAGGGAAGGTAAGATTTAGATATCCTCATCAGCATTTCCTGGAAACTGAGTCTGGGTGGGTATGATGCTCTCATCAGCTCAACCCTTACTGGCATCAGAAGCATCACCTCAAAAAATGTTAAATGGAGTAGATAATAACGTCAATTTAGTTGGAAGTTAGATTTGTTTCAGATAAGCTTCTTATGAAATAATCATAAGACAATAATGAGCTAATTATTCAGGATTCATGGCACCTTCCAACTAGTAGCTTCTCAGTGAATGTTTTAATGGATCATTGGAGTGGTCTTCCATCCAAATAGCCCCCTAAATGGTAGGTAGATAGGGTGGAATTGACTCCCTGTATTACTTCCAGGTGTGAGACTAAAGACTTTTCTTATTTCTTTGAGGAAGTCTTCTTGGGACAGGTGGGCTCTGAATCATGTCTATGACATTCAACAAATACTTGGTGACTGCTTACTGTTTATAAAGAAGTACTGTGTTAGCAGATTGCCATATGTTGAGGACACATTCTAGAGAAGAATGCATAAATCAGTATAATACAAAGAAGAATGGGATGAATGAATGTGTGAAGTGAGTGAAACCAGAACAATTTATACAATAACATCAATATTGTAAAAGTGAACAATTTTGAGGACTTTTATAAACTTAGGAATAATGAAATAAGTAGGACCAGGAGAATAATAACACTATAAAAATAAACAACTTCAAAATCCATAGGAACTATGATCAATAAAATGATCTTTCATGATTTCAGAGGACCAATGATAAAACATGCTATCCATCCAGAGATGAGGCAGAATCAAGATTCAGAATACACACACACACACACACGTACATGTGCCATTTAGGGAAATTGTTTTGATCGATTGCATATTTGTTACTAGAAATTTGTTTTTTTAATTTTTTTTGTCTTGTCAAGTGAATTATGGTAGGGAGTGGTGAGGAAAGGGAAAGGGAAAGAATGAGCATTTATGTAATGCCTACTACATACCAGACACTGTGCTAAGAGCCTTTACAAATATCTCATTCAATCCTCACAACACCCTGTGAAGTAGGTGCAAAGGGGGGGGGTAGAGAAAACAAATTTGTTAATTTAAAAAAATAGAGAGGGGGGAAGTGTTACAGATGTGAAATGTTGCATGCACTTTCAGATGAGTTTTTGGTATTATTTTTACTTAACTGTTTTACTTTGTTACAAGAGACCTCTCAAAGTGGGAAGCAAGTGTAAATGTAATGTAAAAAAAACAAAACATCAGTAAAACTTTTTAAAAAGCGTTTAATAAACACTATGTGCCAAGCACTGTGCTGAGTACTGGAGAAACAAATATAACAGCAAGCTAGTCCTTGACCTCAGGAAGCTTATGTTATACTAGGGGAAGTAACACATATAAGAGTGGTAGCCAGGGGAGGGCTGCTCATTTTAGGAAGTAAGAGAAAAGGTAAGTGGAGCCATAAGGGAGTCACCTGACATTCATTTTCAAAAGCAATGTTAATATTAATTTCATTACTGTGTCTAGAGCAAAAGGTATAAAGCTGGGCCTGAGGATAGAATTTGGGCAGAGGCAGTGGGAAAGAGATGGCTGAAGTGTATGGTTGGATAAGATGTGAAGCATATTCAGGGGATGGCTAGATAGAGCTGGCCATGTATATCTACACTGGCTGGTTCACCAATCAGGAAAACATGGTCCCAGAGTAATGGTTCCAAGGGATGAGCTAATCAAATCATCCAGAGCAAGATCCCAGGGAAAAACTATACTAATGGGCAAAACAGGTGTCAAGGAAATAGTTAGGGGGGGTAGTTGGGTAAGATGTGAATGACTAGATGTACAAATGATGGAGTTGTAAATTGGTCCAACCATTCTAGAAAGCATTTTGAAATTGTGCTAAGAAAGCAAAAGAAAAAAATATGGAGGGAGTTCCCTCAATGTTAAGTTCCCTTTAACGCAGAGATTCTGCAGTTAGGCGTATATCCCAAGAAGGTCAATGATACAAAGAAAGGTCACATATGTACAAAAAATATTTGTAGAAGCATATTTGTAGTAGCAAAGAAGAGTAAACAAAATAGGTCTTATCAATTAGTGAATAGCTAAAAATGATATGGTACATGAGTATAATGGACTATTATTGTGTTCTAAGAAATGATAAATATGATGAATACAGAGAAGCATGGAAAGATTCATATGGACTAAAGTACACAGACCCAGGAAAAATATAAATAATTATTACAATATAAATGGAAAGAACAACAACAAAAAAGTGAAAACTGAATACATAAGATCATAATGACTAAATTACACGTAATGAAAAAACTAAACTAAAAATGGGCCCCTCAGAAGCAATAAGAAAAGTTACTTTCCCCACTTTCTAAGGGCACAAGAAAGACAGCTTGTAAAATTTAAAAAAAAAAGAGAGAGAACTTCATTAGGGGGAAGAGTTAGGGGACATCCAAATAAAAAGGTTTTTGTTTTTTTTTTAAAGTCAATCAGTCCCCAGTTGTGTTGTTCAAAACAGAATTTCTCAGACTGTGTTTGGTAAAAATCCTTATGTTTCTATTAGAATTCTTAAAAATATGTATGTGTAGCTGGTGTTCCTGATAGCTTTTTATAGGCACGCAGAGTAGGATGATGTGTAGGCACATACAGCCCGTCACGTGTCACCTGGGAACACTCACCAAGCGTACACCTTATCTCCCTCACTGTGACATATGTAACAAAATGAGAATGAAAATAAGTTTAAATTGTTCCAATTTTTTTTCCAAAATGTCTACTTATACTTCACTAAAGGTGTATCCCATACTGCTAGACCTGTCACATCAAGACCAACATGTTCAACCATCAATGTATTTCAAAAACAAGAAGTGGTCCATAGTCAGGTTTTGTTGGGCAATCCCTTGCTATGAACTGACCAAATCTTCCTTCGTCCTCACTCCTTTCCTTCCTTCCTCCCTCTCTCCCTTCAGTCTTTCTCTCTCTCTTTCTTTCCTCCCTCCCTCTTTCTTCCTTTCTCTCTTCCTTCCTTCCCTTCTCTTCCTAACTTTTTGGACCCCATGCCTCCTCCATATATATGTTGCTTTTTCATATTTAAATGTTTCCCTTAATTTTATCACAGTGGAAATTTCATTATAAGAACATCTACAGTAGAAAAGGGATAGGGATGGGATCTATGATTTCACTGGCATAGGAAACTTCTCATTGTGCATCTTCTCTGCAACTTATTTTCTTGGAGGGTTGCCTTAGAGTACTGAGAGGTTAGGTGACTTGCCCA